CCTGGCCAGGGCTTTCCTTTGGGAAGAGGTGGGCTGGAGGAGAGAGTGGGGGATACAGCCCGCCCAGGTCAGTAGGATTTAGGGAAGACCAGAAGGCCCCTCTTCTTGCTGGAGGAGAGCAGAGTGGACAGAGCAGGGCTTATTTGTTGGGCTGCAACACCAGGAACGTGTATCCGCAGAACAATAGGAAATGAGGCTACACAAGCAGAGTCTGCCCCTGGCCTTCCACGCAGTGCTCTTGGTCTGGAAGCTGGTTCCGCGCTCTTAAGTGCAAATGTGCCATGAAGGTGGGTTTCCGTGGTGCAACCTAATCTAAATCTCGGGCTGCCGAGCCCCAGAGAGTTCAGCTTCCTGTCCTCTAGGCCCTGAAACTATTGGGGATGTCTGGCCACTTCCTGATGTGCTGAAGGGGTAGTCTAGGAACTCGGGCCTCCTGTTCTGGTCAAGCCTGCTACAGTCCTGCCTTGCAGGCGCTGAAATCAGAGCTGGACCTGGTTTGTCCAAGCACGAAAGTCCTGAGGACGAACAGGGGCCTGTCTGGAACATTCCCCAACTGCAGTAACTCTTAGAATGACTTAGGTCAAGAGATTGCAGACCAGCCGGCCAGGTGGGGCTTAAAGTTTCCCTATATGAGCCTGTACACTTTTTCCTTTTCTTTCTTTCTTTCTTCTTCGTCTTCTTTTTTTATTGTCTTTTGCATGCTGAGCCCATGTATCACTTTATATAAAGAAAACCTCTGAATATTGCTAAGTTGTTCTGGAACCATCAAAAGCTGTTTTGTTCTGCCAGTTGGCAGCTGTTCATCTTTGTCTCCCTCAAGTTTTGACTGTAAACATTCCAGTCATCCCAGAAAACTTTTTCTAGATGTGTTTCAAATTGAAATTGATGTGTTTCAAATTGAGACAGATTTGGGAGCATGGAGGAGGGAAAGTAGGGGGCAGTGGTATCTGTAACACCTGATTCTCCCCCTGTGTTAGCAAAATGCCTCTGCATTTTCCTTCAAATTCTGAGAAATCAGTGAATGAGTGTTTGTTTTTATCCCATGCTTGCTGGCAGGAAACTTAATTTATGTTTGTATTCATTGCTGGTAAACTTGGACTAGCGTGGAGTTTATTATTGGAGTGTCGCTATTTTCTCAAGTGTTTTTACAATGATATCACCCACTTTGCTCCCCAACGCGACCCCTGCAATCTCTTATATCCCCACTGCCCTTTCTCTTACCGTTCCCCTCCCCCCCAGCTTTCAGACACTTTACTTCTTTTATTAATGGCCACTAGCTTTTATAAGTACTTTAATTGGTTGGACTGTCTGCTGTGTAAATGTTCAATATTTGTCTTTGTCACTTCTAATTTACTGTGCATAATTCCCTGAATTTCCATTTGGCAGTAAATAGCAGTATTTCATCTTTCCATGTGGCTGAGTGATCCTCCATCATGTGCAGAGACCACATCTTTGTCCTATCAATCTTCTGCTGATGGGCATTTAGTCCTGCAGTAAAACATTGTAGAGCACATGTGGTTTTTTTGAGTCGATGGCTTCACATTCTTTGGGTCGATGCCCAGGAGTGGAATTGCTGGGTCAGAGGATATTTTTATTGTTTATTTGTGAAGGTAAATTCAGATTGCTTTTCCAAACTGGTTGTACCAGTTCACATTCCCAACAACAGTGTAACAGGATTCCTTCCTTTCCTGTGTTCTCCAGAACATTTCTTTAAATATGTGCTACTCTTACAGGTGTGAAATGGATATCACCCCCCTCTTATTTTATTATTTTTAAAGATTTTATTTATTTATGCATACAGAACTGGGGTATATAGTCCAGAGGTGTGGGGACCATGAGAAGATTCACCAGAGACATAGTGGGGAGCAGAACAGGCAGATACACTGCTGAGGGGAGCAGTGGGCGGGTCAGGAGAGGTCTGCTGTGCCATGTGGGTCACCTCTGGGGCCTTGGATCAAACTCGCACTGAAGCAGCTGCGACCAGCTTTGCAGTGCTGTGCTCCAACCTGCTGCGCCACCAGGGTGGGTCCTCACCTCCCTTTAAAAAAAAAAGAATTTTCACATCTTTTATGTGCTCACAGTTAAGTCCTCATGAATAAACTTTTACACTTGGGAAAATCTTTAAGTAGCAGTTCGTGGAAATCACTTGAATCATTTGGCCTAAACTATAAGTAGGTTTATGATAGGAACACATGGAAACAAATGTCATTTCCCCTTCTTTTCAGGAAATTATGCATACTTAAAAAAAAATAGCAGGAATATCATCTTTGGGAGGTTCTAACTGAAAGGGGTGTCAGGGTAGAAGACCCTAGGCCAACAATCACCGTGTCTGCATTTTCTTTTGGAATATTTGCCTCTGTGTTCAGTGTGGGTGACAGTTTCTTTGTTTACTGTCCATGAAGTCTAAATTTAACCACAATCATTTCTAAATTAAGAAAATCTTTAAGAAGTATACCTGGCCAAAACATGAGATTCTTTTGACTTCATACTTCCTTCTCTATCTGAAATGGTTAGTGCCCCGTGTTTCTTATTTTAATTTTTCAAAATGCTACATGAACTGCTGATGTCAAATGGGGATTGGCTGATTTTCCACGAGAAAGTTAGAGGAAACCTGGGCTTTGTCACCAGTCATTTCTTCCACCATGTCCCACGTGGGTGGTGCTAGAAAACCTCATTGCATCCTTCCCTTATTCTGTTAAATTGCAGGGCCAGAAAATCTAGAGCGTTCATCTCTGTGTACATTCAGCTATGTAAATCTGGTAACATTCGAAGTGAAAGGGCCAGAGGAAACGGGACTTGGGGTTACCAGAGAGCACTGCACACCAGTAGGTTCCAGCAGCTCCGGGGAGCGCCAGCACAGTTTCTCAGCTGACATTCTTGACTTCCGTTTCAAAATAAAACCCAATCAATTGGACAGTAGAAATCTGTAGACTTAGATGTGGAACATGGCACATGAAGAATACAGTTATTTTTATGGAGAAATAGTATCAGCAGAAGGAATTCATAGATTTTGGAGAAATGTTGCTTCTGTTTTCAAATACGTATTGCTGGGTTTTCAGTGTTGGTCTAGACACTACCTATAACTACCAAGCTTCATTTTGTGCTTCAGTGTCTAGTATATTGTTACAATACATTAAGCCTGTGTCTGTTCAGTTTATGGCTTTTTATGTATTACAGAAAGTAGAACATGTCCTATGGGAAAGCACAAGGGGCTCAGATGCTTTTCCAGCTCCCCGCCAGCCTCCAGCTTCTATAGCTACCACCGGGCCTTGTTTTCTCCTTGGTTTTGCTGCCCACCTGTGGTAACGTTTTACTGCAGAATGCACTTGAGTGCCAGCACAGGACACACACACCTGTGATTGCAGATGCTCAGGCAGGGAGCCAGAACTAGAGGGGGGAGAGAGAGAAGCCAGAGGGAGATGTGGGGGTCGCAGAACAAGGCCTGGGGGGCTGCCAGGCCTCTGCCCTCTGGTGTGCCTGTGTGCCGGTTCCCTGCTTCTGCGTGAGAGGCCTGTCAGATCGACTGAGGGCTCCAAGAGCCTTTTCTCTTTGTTGGCATCAACAATGCGCCTACCCAGCCTGGACATTTGCCCCAAACATGGCCTGTACAGAAAAGCAGAAAATTCAGACACACAAAACTCCAAAATGTATCATATTTCCACTCCCCAGGAGTCATATGTGAGGGGGATGGGGGGGCAGGAAAGGGGGGGAGAGAGAGAGGTTTTAACCCCAAATGAGATCATACCATATATAAACTGTAACTAGTTTTGGTAAAGTCCTTTTCCTGTCAGAATTTCTACCTTTTATTTCAATGAAAAGTAATCTAATCCCAATCATACATTTTCCAGGAAGATCCAAAATGTCATTTCGCTGGTTTGCTGGCATGAATATCCGATCCAGGCCATGTCTGGCAGCTCACACTGATGTTTGTTCTTGAGATTTCTTCCCTTAACACCGTCCCTGCGCTGAACCCCAGTGACTGGCCTCCTCACCCACCCATGTTCATAGTCTTAGACAAGCCATTCTCGCTGGTGTGAGAGATCTGATTGTGCTTTTTGATTTGCTTTGCCCTTTCGTGTCTGTTGGCCATGTCCTCTCTGGCTTCTGGGTCCTTTGGGCCTGCCCCCTCCTGCTTTGGGGCACCTCCTTTCTGTCACAGTGAAACGCCCTTATCATTTCTTTGTGCCCATCCGCACCCCCCTAGACCTGGCTTCTTCTTGGGACTTGTTGGGAAGAGCAGGCTAGTGATCACACGCAGTGCCCCTTCTTTAGATTTGCCTAGATACGGGTTTGTGTTGTCATCTAGCTTATTTCTCGGACCTACTTCCAGTGGAAATTCTGTCTAAAATTTGATGGAGTCTAGTTTAAAACCATGGGTGTGAAATGTGATTCCATTTTCATTGCAACAAAAGTTATAGCACCTGGCCCACCCACTCTCAGTGGGTGAGGAGCTGTGGTTAAGCAACTGATTTTTGGGTAGTTGTGTTGTTAACTTTTCCTTACTGGCAGAGAAAGTGTCCCTCTGAACTTGAATTTTTGAAGAGCATTTCAAAGAAGTAGTCTCGGCTCAGCCTATTAAGATTCACAACTACTGATAGACCATTACCCTGTGCTGGACTTGCCTGGCATTAAAGAAAGTATTCACTGGTCATGTTAATATTAATTTATGTTTTAAAGATTTATTTATTTATGCATACAAGAACTGGGCTGCAGGCTAGAGGTGCAGGGGGTGAAAGGATTCACCAGAGACAGAGTGGGGAACAAAATAAGCAGATCCAATGAAGCACGCTGCTGAAGGGAGCAGTGGGGAGACAGGAGAGGTCTGCTGCACCATGTGGGTCACTCCCTGGCTGAGGATTGAACTTGTGCTACAGTGGCGAGCTGGGTAGTGCCTGGCATTAACCCCTTGTGCCACCAGGGAGGCCCCTATGTTTTTAATATTTAATTTTATTGAATTGTAATCATTTTTCCCTTCTCTCCCACCCCTTTCCTGTTAACAGTTGGACAGAGAGAGTCTGAAGATGTGAGTGAAAGAGACTCAGATGTAAAGATGGCAACTAGCTCAGCAGTTGTTGAAGACATGGCCAAGGATGGGCAGGAGGAGCTGCCTGAGATAATTGAACAGATTCCTTCTTCGGAAAGTAATTTAGAGGAGTTAACCCAACCTGCGGAGTCTCAGTCTAGTGATGTTGGATTTAAGAAAGTGTTCAAGTTTGTTGGCTTTAAATTCACTGTGAAAAAGGATAAGACGGAGAAGTCTGACACAGTCCAACTCCTCACTGTCAAAAAAGATGAAGGGGAGGGCGCGGGGGAACCAAATGGGGCTGGCGACCACCAGGACCCCGGCTGTGAGGCCGCAGAAGCAACACCCAAGGAAAGTGAGCTAAAGCAGTCCACAGAGCAAGCCGAGGAGACGCCGAAACTTGAGCAGAACAACGCAGAAGCATCTCCTCAGGCCGAATCTGAGCAAGCGGAAGAGGAGAGCAAAGATGAAGAAGAAAAGCAAGAACCGACCAAATCTCCAGAATCTCCTACCAGCCCACTGGCCAGTGAGACAGCGTCGCCCTTCAAAAAGCTCTTCACGCAGGGTTGGGCAGGCTGGCGCAAAAAGACCAGTTTCAGAAAGCCCAAGGAGGAAGAACTGAAAGCTTCAGAGAAGAAAAAGGAACGAGAGCCCGAGAAAGCGGACTCGGAAGAAAATGAAAAGCCAGAAGCCACCTGTGAGAAGCAGGGTGCCCCTGAACCGCCGCACCCCCAGGCCACGGAGGGCGAGAGCGGGGCCAGGCTGTCCGCAGAGTATGAGAAGGTGGAGCTGCCCACCGAATACCAAGTGCAGGGGGGCTCTGAAGAGAAGACTGCCCCTTTGGCAACAGAAGTGTTTGATGAAAAAGTGGAGATCGTTGCGGAAGTCCATGTCAACACCGTGGAGGGGAAAATGGAGGAGCAGGAAAAGGAGGGGGCAGGAGAAGCCGCAGAGTCTCTGCCCACTGAAAAGGAGGCAGACGCCAGCACCCAGGCTGAGGCGGCTGAATCCCACGAGGAGCTGGTGAAGCCCCAAGAAGTGGGCGCCGTGGCAGGGGACCCCCTCCAGCCTCCGGAGCTCGGTCCTGAGGAGAAAGTCTTGTCTGTTCACCCCGAAGGCATTGTCAGCGAGGTGGAGATCCTGTCGTCTCAGGAGAGAATCAAGGTGCAAGGGAGCCCTTTAAAGAAGCTTTTCACTAGCTCGGGCCTCAAAAAGCTTTCTGGAAAGAAACTGAAAGGGAAAAGAGGAGCAGGCGGGGGGGATGAAGAGTCGGGGGAGCTTCAGCCTGGGGCCGCAGAATCTCCAGACAGCACAGATGAACAGAAGGGTGACAGTTCAGCCTCGTCCCCCGAGGAGCCCGAGGAGCCCGCGTGTGTGGAGAAGGGCCTGGGTGAGGCGCCGCCGGAGGCCGACCTTGAAGAAGGAGTCACTTCTGATGGAGAAAAAAAGAGAGAAGGCATCACCCCATGGGCATCTTTCAAAAAGATGGTGACGCCCAAGAAGCGTGTTAGGAGGCCTTCTGAGAGTGACAAGGAGGATGAACTGGACAAGGTGAAGAGCGCCACCTTGTCTTCCACAGAGAGCGCAACCTCTGAAATGCAAGACGAGGGCAGAGGAAGTGGAGAGGAGCAGAGGCCCGAAGAGCCCAGGCGCAAGGTGGACACCTCCGTCTCCTGGGAGGCTTTAATTTGTGTGGGATCGTCCAAGAAGAGGGCAAGAAAAGGGTCCTCTTCTGATGAGGAGGGGCCCCCCAAAACCACAGGAGGCGACGGCCAAAAAGCCGACGAAGGCGGAAAAGACAGAGAGGCCGGCGCAGACCCCGGTCCTGCCAGTGCCCAGGAACATGACCAGGCGGCTGCGGGCTCCTCCCCGGAGCCAGCCGGGAGCCCTTCTGAAGGGGAAGGCGTGTCCACCTGGGAGTCCTTCAAAAGGCTGGTGACGGCCAGGAAGAAGTCCAAGTCGAAACTGGAAGAGAAAAACGAAGAGTCTGTCACAGGCTCTGGGGCCGAACACCCCGCCTCCGAGGCTGAACCCGGCAGAGAGGAGTCTTGGGTTTCCATCAAGAAGTTGATTCCTGGACGGAGGAAGAAAAGGCCAGATGGGAAACAAGAACAGGCCACCGCGGGGGACCCAGGCCCCGCAGAGGCCAACGAGGACGATCCGGACGTCCCCGCCGTCGTCCCTCTGTCAGAGTACGATGCCGTCGAGAGGGAGAAGATGGAAGCTCAGCAAGCCCAGAAGAGCGAGGGCAGGCCAGAGCCCCAGGCCGCGGCTGAGGTAGACGACCTGGCGCGCACAGCGCCCCCGGCTGTGGTGGATGGCGCCAGGTCGCTGACTGACGTGGAGGAGAGATCTCCTTCCTGGATATCCGCTTCCGTGGCCGGGCCCCTCGAACAAGGGGGGGGCGAAGTCACAGTGCCCACTGGGGAGGCGGCCGTCCAGCAGGCCCGGGTGGCGGCCACGCCCGAGGGCAGGGACGCCAGCGACGACACGCTGGTGAGCGAGGTGGCGTCGGAGCTGACTTCTGAAGCAGTGACAGCAGCAGAAACGACGGGGGCGTTTTGCGCCGAAGAGGCGGCCGAAGTCTCTGGCGCTGAAGAGACCACAGATATGGTTTCGGCCGTCTCCCAGCTCACCGAGTCTCCCGACACCACGGAGGAAGCCACCCCTGTCCAGGAGGCGGAGGGCGGCGGGCCTGACCAAGAAGACCTGGCGCGGCGGACCCGGGAGGTCCTGCAGGCCGTGGCGGAGAAGGTGGGGGAGGAGGCGGGGCTGCCCGACGGCCGGGCGCTGGCCGGCAGGGTGCGCGCGGCGCACAAGGCCGAACCGGAGATCGCAGAAGAGGCGGAGGAAGCTGAAGAGGAGGCTGGGGCACCAGATCTGAAGAAAGAGGTGGAGGAGGTGTCGAAAGTACAAGTTCAGGAAACCAAGGAGTTGACACAAGGAGAGGTCACGGTCCATGCTGCCCCCGAAAGCTCTGGGATCATCCCTCAAGACACGGAGAGTGTGACGTCCAGCGAGCTCACAGCCCCTCATGAAGCTGAAACCTCGGTTGGGGTCAAATCAGAACAAACCGTTGCCCCTGATTCGGCCGAAACCCTCACAGACAGCGAGAGTCCTGGAAGCACCCCTGTGGCCGATTGTGAGTCAACGCAACACAAGATCGGGCATGAGGTCGGTGACGATGGGGTGGCGTCCTCCGGCCAGCAGCCACGAGTCCCAGAAACGCAGACAGGGACGCCGCCAGCACCTTCCGGCTCTCCACCCGGGGAGGAGGACATGGAACATTCAGAGGAGAAGGTGGTTTTGGAACACACGGCTGCAGTGGCCTCCGGGGAAATGGCACCGGTCCTCTCAAAGACCGAGGCAAGTCAAGAAGTTGGTGAGGAACCCAGAGACGGGCCTCCTGTCGAAGGACTTGAAGTGTCTACAGACGCAGAAGTAACCTTCGTTCAGGAAAGGAGACCTGAAGTTACCCCTGGCGACCATGTTCCTAAAGACACTGAATCTGGAAAGGATGAAGCTGAACTCCACAGTCAAACTGAGGCTGCCCCAGCCCCGGCGGACAGAGGGATGGCAGGTCAGGTAGAAAAGGAGAAAACCGAAGCGAAATCTACCCAAGGGAGTGAAGAGAAACCCGAGTGTGACCCCAGTGCCACGTCTGAAGAGCCCAGGGAGATCCCGGATCAGACGGTGAAGGTCAGCAGCACAGAAGGGCCAGTGGGGGAGGCCAGCAGTCTCGAGGAAGGCTCTCCACCCTCGCAAGAGGGACTGATCTGCACAGAAATACAGGCTCAGAGCTCGGAGGCATCACAAACTCTAACTGCTGATGTGGTAGGAGAGAAGAAGGTCTTAAGAAAAACCGTCAAGATTTTAGAAACAACTGAAATTTTGGGATCTGCAGAGGCACATTTAGTACTGGAAGAAAAGTCCACCAAAGATGACGAAGCTCAGCCGGGGGCAGAGGCGTCACCCCCAGGGACTGAATCTGGGGCAGAGTCTGCACCGGTCACGGTGTCTGCAGCCACCGGAGAAGGTCTCAGCGCCGACCTGGAAGGAGCCCCAGCCACAGCCCAGACACGGGAGTCCGAGCAAGGTCACGAGCCAGGGGTTTGCCGGGAGGTGTTGGGGAGCATACGCTGGGAGGAAGACACCAAGGCTGAAAAGGAGATTCTGCAGCTTGAGAGTGAGAGCAGCAGACTGGTAGAAAATGTGATTCAGACCGTCGTCGAGCAGTTAGTAAGTACGGAAGAGACAGCCACTGAGTCCCAGACACAGGCCCCCCCAGTGAAAGCTGAACAGCCAGCAGAAAACCAGCCACCTGAGCAGAGAGTCGAGAAAGAAGAGCGCGAGCTGCCAGCCCTCACAAAGAGCGGCACAGAGACCCTCTCCAGCAGAGAGGAGTCGGCACCAGATCCCTCGGAGCAGGCATGCTCAGGTAGCGCCAGAGAAGTGAGCGAAGCCGTCGCGGTGGAAAGCCCCCGGGTCGATGCCCAGCAGCTCGAGGAGGTCCCGCTCCCATCTGGAGATGAGAGAGGAGAGCCTGGATCCAAGTCTGTGCCAGAAGGTGATGGCGGGGCCGAGTTAGGAGATAGGATAGAGAAAGCACCTTGCGACTCCCCGGGAGAGGGGAAAGGTGATGTGGTCCATCGCCCCGAGGAGCAGATGTCAGCTCTGGAAGCCGTGGAACCTTCAGGAGGCTTAAAAGAACCCCTGGATACAAACGGACCCAAACTGAAAGAGCAGGAAGACAGCCAGGAAGTGTGTCGTGCGTCAGAAGACATCAGAACACAAACGCAGGAGACACAGAAAGAAGAGAGAGAACCTGCAAAATCAGAAGTGGCGGAGTCCTAAAGCAGCCTGTAAGTGGCTCCCTTCTAGATACTTCTCCTTTTCTGCCATTGAATGCAAATGTTTTTACGATTTACTTTTATTTATTTATGCACGTAAGAACTGGAGTATAGGCCAGAGATGGGGCGGGGGGGGGGATTCCCCAGAGACAGAGTGGGGAGCAGAACTGGCAGATCTACTGAAATCCACTGCTGAGGGGAGCAGCAGGGAGATAGGAGAGGGCTGCTACACCATGGGGGTCAGCTCCCTGGCTGGGGATCAAACTCAGGCCACAGTGGTGAGCTTCATAGCTCTGAGACTAAACCCTTTGGCCACCAGAGAGGCCCCTGAATGCAAATTTGTTGTGAGGTGTTCTCCATGCAGAGTCTTCAGTTGGGAGAATAACTTAGGAGCTGGAGTAGAAGATCAAGATTAGCTTTGTTTCCTCCTCAACTGAAATGCCACTCAGTCTTACTGGTGTCATGAAAATAATGACCCCCCCCCACCATGTGACTGCTTTAGAAGAAAATAAAGGGGTGTGTGTGTGCTCAAGTGTGCTCATGTGCATATGTTTGACTCAAAAGCACAACAAGTGTTTTGTGCTCACTCAGCACTGAATTTTCTAACAAAGTTCAAAGGAGGCTTGTATCAGACAGCTTGACATCGAGCTTCTAGCTGTCTGAATTTCCCCCCCAGCAGCAGTACCAAGCATATATAAAATAATCCCAGTACGTGTGATGGACCCAACTGTGGGTGTCACCGATGCCCCCGTTGTGGGGACTCAGCCTCTGTGCCGTGGAGCCCAGCACGCTAGATTCGGGAATCTCGCCGTCGTCTTCTACCCCGGCACTGGGGCTGCATGACGTCGGCTCCCTTCACAGCTGTTTGTTGTTGAATTAAAAATGGGAGGAGACGGAGGTTTCATTTGCTTTTGGTTCTTCTTCTACAGCTAAACTATACTTGCAAGACCAGAATGTGAAGACAAGTCAGAGAAGAAAATGATGCTGTTGTGGAGGCTCGTAACCAAGATGAAGAACTTTTGCAGTGGAAGAACAGGCACATCGACAGACCCGTTCCTGGAGAACCCCGACAATCCTGAGGCTTCGTCAGGAGCTACAGCCATTTAACATGTCCCCTCCCACCCACCCCCATTTCCCCTTGATCTATGTAATGTTTCTGACTTAGGGTTCTCACTGCTTCACCTGGAACTGGAGTTGGCAATACCTAGTTCTGCATCTCAAACTGGATCTCATTCTTTGTGTATTTATATGTACGTTTTAAGTAATCCTCCTCCTGTATCTATTGTATATTTTTCTCTTAACGTCTAAGCAAATGCTCAGTATTTGGATGGCAGGCGTGGACAAGGGGGCACCGGCCCGGTGAAGCCTCGGGAAGCTTTGAAGCCTCATTTAGAACTTGTGCCAACAGCTTCCTAGAAATAACATTCCTGATCAGCGAGTCTTACTTTACAATTTACTGCCGCTTAGATCTATCTTTAGTAGCATTCTGAAATGGGTCACTCTCTTACTATGCACAGTGTGCTAAAAATAATTTCTTTTTGGTGGTGGGTGGGAGAACATTCTGAAGGTTCCATTGTTACTGTGAGATTTTTCTTTCTAGCCCAGTGGAGGTTGGAAGGAAGTTTTTTTCAGGAGCAGTAGTTTGAAGTCTTTTTCTCCTATTGTTATGGTGGTTTGGACACATGAGTGTGCTTCATCCCAAGGCAAAGTAGTGAAGTGTTTTTCACTTTATAAAGGAAAGAATGGACGGCTTTTTGATTCTGCCCTCTTGCTGGGTCACACGAACACAGTGAGAACTTGGCCAGGTGGTGTATAGGTGTTTGGTAGATTCGGGTTGTGTTCTTGCCATATATGAGCCCGCTCTTTTACGAAGACTCTTGCATTATGTTTTTTGGATAAATTGTGGTTTGACAACTGATTGAAATAAAGTATTTGCTCCCTCAGATTTGCTGGCTTTATTAGTTCCAGGAAGCCTGGCACATATGTTTACTGTGTTCTGTTCTGAACACAGAAGCTGAAACTGTGTCTTGGCTCCAGTACCTGGTGTCCCCACTTTACACGGATTTGAGTCCATGTCCAGAGAAGCAGCTTCAGAAACAAACCAGATGCTTCCGTTTGCTGTGCTGATACAGTACTACCACCTGCTGTTGTCTTTCTGAAAGTACAAATTACTGGTTTTAAGCAATGACCGGTGTGTCTACAAAGACTTTTTAAGTAGGCCTAATAGTAAACATGCCTTCCTTAACAAGCGGTCTTGGAAGTATTTTTAAATGCTGAAATGATTTATGATTCATGTGAGTAGGTCAAGGATTTTGCTAGAACAGTCACCCCATCCCCTGTGACATTCCACTTTCTCACACGAGAACTGACCTGCCCTACGAGCTTCTCAACCTGAGAATAATGATTTTAATACAGCATTCTAGAATGACAACACCAGAAAGTTTGCTATGAAAGCTAGAAAGTAGTTTGCTGATACCATCAGATCGGATGACAAAAAAAATGAGCTGTACCATAAAGACCTCCTGATAATAGTGTACGGTATTATTATAGTTGAAAGCATTAAATATCCTTTTAGGAATTAAATTTTCAAATCTATGAAAGTCACCTTTTAAAATCCTCAAATTAAAACATCAACTCTGATTTCAGTATCTTTCCTTTGCCAATTTGAGACTCAGAAAACCTCCAAGTGCCAGGCTCCATTTTTGAGCAACTTCAGAGTCTTGGAAATAACAGCAGCCTGTAAGGAATTCTGACAGCTGTGGGGCTGGCTGACTTCCTGTCTGTGGCAGGAAGAAGCTTTTGAACAGATTAGAGATTGGTGTGCTTCGTAGCAAACAGATCCTCTGGGCATTAATTCCTTCCTGTCACTTCATCCCATGTGCGTTCCGGCTTGTGGCCACGCGTGTCATGTCTGGAACATGCTGGTCTTCGCGCTTGGTGTTCGTGGTCATCGCTCTTGGCTCTGCTTTTTGGACAAAGACGTTGGGAGTGCCCTCAAGCTCTCTGTCCGTGAAGCGACTTTGCTTTATCAACAAGAATGTTAGGAACAGTTAGCAGTAGCATGAAATCTAATTCTGAATCATAGTTCTGAAGCTGCTGTTAACCTACAAGGTACTTAATAATCCAGTGCAAATTGCAGACGGTGGAACAAGTGCCTAAATTTTGCTATTTTTTGGCGTTTACTATGGAGCTATGTACAATAGAAAACAATGCAAGACTTGTAAACTCTCCCCACTTGTAACTGAGGAATAAAACCTGTTCCCCTTTGTACACAGATATTTTGTTCCATTGTTTTCTCTTGTTGTTTGGAGCGCCAGGTAGTCAAGGGCTGGGCATTTTGGCTTTCAGTACAAGCTTCAAATTTAGCAGTTTCCTTTAATCTGAAACAATATTTGATTCCTAATTCTGTTCGGGGCAGATTTTCATTAACCTAAATAAAATGCAATCTAATTAAATGCCATGGATTTTCTTTCTGTGATTTCGTTTGAATTCAGTCTGGTTTTGCTGTTGTGATATTCATCACATATTTAACATCTGCTTTTAACTAGCTATTGAAACTGTCCAACAAGCATCATGGGAGTTTGGAATGTCTCTGGGATATGTGTGGATATATTTAACCATTTTGGATTAGGGGTTTGGTTAATTAAAATCTCATTAAGCCTCTGGCTGACCTCTGACTCCCAGAAATAAACACAGTTTAATATGCAGGGTTTCTCCTCCCCTCCCCTCCCCTCCCCTCTCATCC